ATATATATATATATATATCGATCCTGGCCGCAATTTTGTATTTTCACCGCTATAAGAACATAGCTTCCAACTTATGCAATCACTATCAAAGTCAGAATCACAAAACCTGACTATGTTACACCTATCACTTACACCATATATCATCCCATGAGATGTGGTTCATTTCAAATAGCGAATAATCAATTATCATCAGTGTTGCCCTACGTGATTTGTCCTAATTTGATAGAAATGGGTTAACCACCCCAATACATCGTGCAAGATTGGAATGAGTGGATACTATGACATACATAAGATCACAACCACATTGGCATAAGAAAACTCTTCCTTCTTGGCTTCTCCATTGTCAACAACAAGACAATAATATTTAATAATCTTGATATGCAATGATAAATGTGTGTTAATAGCTTTGTATCATCAAGATTAAATAGTTGGGAGCACTTTCTGGATGTACTCACACTGCCAATACCAGAATGCAAAATTTTCTGTCACGAACAATTTCCATGTCCAATATCTTTTGAGCTTCGCCAAGGTTTTATATCAAACTTTGATTTCAACTTCACCTTTAACTTGTTGATCTCAAAACTTCTCTTGCAAGCTATGAAAATGTCATCGATGTATAAAAGGTGATACATCTGTATCCTACCGCTTATGCGATAATACACACAAGTATTTTTCAACTTCAATCCAAACCAACCAACTTCATCCTTGTTGATAAAACCCTGAGGTCACTTTATATAGATGGTCTCGTTGAAATTTCCATTCACTAGCGAAGTTATACTGTGACAAGTAATTCCTTACAATCCAATTCTTCATGACCAAATAAAGCATGTGAAGGCAGATAAGTCTTTCGTCAAAGAAAAAATTGAAATGTGATTGATATACATGTCTTACATTCTACAGCACAACAGCTTGCATATTATACTCACCAAAGGATTACCAAAGCAGGAGTTCAATAGATTGATTGGCAAACCGGTAATGGAAGATATCTATAAATTAAGACTGAAATATACAACCTAATTTCAACCATTTCATAAAAAAAAAAAAACAATGCCCTAATATGAGTAATAAGAAATGAAGTCATTGTATATACGTTACCTATGTACCTGATTTGCCAACTGACTGGTGAACTTTTCTGGGTGCAACTTACGCTCACAGTGAAATGCATAAGACACTTGAGCATCCATTCCTGTGAATAAGATGGTTTCCATTGAAAAGATTAAAATACTTAATTATCCCTTCAAATCCACATTTTATCATATGATGTGGAAGAAGCAAGTCAATTTTTTGGACTCACCCATACTGAAATAATTCCAGAATCCTCCACGAAATGTGTCATAACCTGACTGATTGATATTAAGAACACTTTAGAGCATATGAACAACAACATGAAAGAAAGAATGATAGTTATATACAAAGAAGTACATCGTACAACAGGCAAGTAAAACATACTATGCTATCATTGAACTTATTGAAGTGTTTTGAAGTGGTCAGTTAGTTTTGCTGAATAAAAGGTCTTCTACCTGTTTTGTAGGGGATATTTATTTTGAATTGGTATCAGATGTATAGACTTAGTCATCTGATTTTGCTCCTGATTTTCTGTTTCACGTTTGCTTTGTAGGCTATATATAGCCATCATTTCTATTAAATAAAGTGAGGACTTCCACTTTACTTTACTCTGTTTTATCATCTGGTATCAGAGCAAATACGAGTGTGAGTGAATCAGTGAGTGYGAGAGGAAAACACGAGAGTGTGAAAGGCAAACACGAGAGTGTGAGAGGTAAACACGAGAGTGTGAGAAATGGCAGCGGAATCTAGCAGTTTCCAAACCCCATGTGTGCCAAAGTTTGATGGGGACTATGACCACTGGAGCCTGGTCATGGAGAATCTGCTTCGATCAAAAGAGTACTGGRGTGTAGTCGAAGTGGGGTACAAAGAGCCTGGTGTAGAAGATCAAGTGACAGCGGCACAGCAGAAAGCACTAGATGAAGCAAGATTAAGGGATCTAAAAGCTAGAAACTACTTATTTCAGGCTCTTGACAAATCTATTYTRAAGACMATYWCTCAGAAAAACACTGCGAAGCAAATCTGGGAGTCCATGAAGATAAAATACCAAGGGAATGCAAGAGTTAAGCGTGCTCAGTTACAGAGACTTCGAAGGGAGTTCGAGACCTTAGAAATGAAGACGGGAGAATCCGTCACTGACTATTTTGGAAGAGTAATGGTCACTGCAAACGACATGCGAAACTGCGGCGAAGATATGGATGATGTCAAGATTGTGGAGAAAATATTGCGGACAATGACAGAAAACTTCAATTTCATTGTTTGCTCGATTGAAGAATCAAAGGACATCGACAAGTTAACAGTCGATGAACTGCAAAGTTCCCTACTGGTACATGAACAGAAGGTGCGACACAAAGGCGGTGAAGAACAAGTGTTGAAGGCAGAACACGACTTAAGGTTTAGGCAAGGCAGAGGTCGAGGTAACTACTCAAGAGGAGGTGCTAGTCCATCGAAGGGAAGAGGACGAGGAAGGGCTCRGACAGATTTCAACAAAGCCACTATCCAATGTTATCGATGTCAAAAGTTTGGCCATTTTCAGTATGAGTGTTCTAATACTGAAAAGAGTGCAAACTATGTTGATTTTGATGAAGGGGAGGAGCTGATCTTGATGGCATATGTTGAAATCGAWAAAGACCGGTGTCAAGGAGAATGGTACCTTGATTCGGGATGTTYRAATYATATGACAGGTAACAAGGACTGGTTCGTTCAAATTGATGATAGCTTCAATCATACGGTGAAACTTGGAAACAACTCAAGGTTAGCAGTTACGGGAAAGGGCAATATCCGATTTGAAATTGAGGGGAYTGTACAAACACTTACAGATGTGTTTYTCGTTCCTGAGTTGTCTACCAACCTGCTAAGTATCGGGCAATTACAAGAGAAGGGAGTAACGTTTGTAATCGAAGCTGGCATGTGTAAAATGTACCATCCCCAAAAGGGGTTGTTTACAACTTCTAGGATCACTCAAAACCGCATGTTTACGGTGTCTGCAGTCATGAAATCTCATAYAAATGAGTGTTTTCATGTTAGCAAAGAAGGGGAAGCAGGTCTGTGGCACCGAAGGTACGGGCACTTGAACCACAATGCTATGGCAACCATGCAAAGCAAGCAAATGGTGAAAGGTTTACCTCTCTTTAAAAGCAAAGTTAAGGTGTGTGAGGTCTGCAATATTGGCAAACAACATCGCGAGGTTATTCCAAAGAGAAGTCAATGGAGAGCAGTGGAAAAGCTTCAATTAATCCACACAGATTTGTGTGGTCCTATAAGTCCAACTTCTCTGGGTGGAAAGAGGTATATGTTAGTTTTTGTTGATGATTTTACTCGCAAAACCTGGATATATCTGCTCTCACAGAAGGATGAGACTTTTGAAATTTTCAAGAATTTCAAAAATCTTGTGGAAAAGGAAGTGGGTTGTTCCATACGTTGTTTGCGAAGTGATCGAGGAGGGGAGTTCACCTCAAATGCTTTCAGTCAGTTTTGTGAGGCACACGGGATCAAAAGACAAATGACGGCAGCTTACACTCCCCAGCAAAATGGCGTGGCGGAAAGACGAAATCGTACTATCATGAACATGGTTAGGTGTTTGCTTGCAGAAAAGGGAATGCCAAAGCACTTTTGGCCCGAAGCAGCAAAATGGACCTGTCATGTGTTGAACAGGAGCTTCACTAGTGCATTAAACGATGTAGTGCCAGAAGAATGTTGGAGTGGGTCGAAACCGAATGTCGACTATTTTCGAATTTTTGGTTGTATTGGGCATGTACATGTGCCKAAACAACTAAGAACAAAACTTGATGATAGAAGCCAAAAATGTGTACTACTTGGGGTTAGCACAGAATCCAAGGCATATCGAYTATATGACCCSCTTCAAAAGAAAATTGTCGTCAGTCGGGATGTCATCTTTGATGAAGAATCAAAGTGGAATTGGAGTATAGACGAAGAAGAATCCAAACTCAAAATCCTGGATTTGGATGAAGAGGAGCACGAAGAACACTCCACAGGTACACCAGCTGTTGCTGAAGAAGAAAACCAGCCAAGTCCTAGTACACCAGCTGTTGCGGAAGAAGAAAACCAGCCAAGTCCTAGTACACCAGCTGCTGCGGAAGAAGAAAACCAGCCAAGTCCTAGAAACACGGCTGATGTAAATCCTACAGAAACAGAAACAACGACAGAGACTCCAACAACAGGAAGAAATAGAAGACGACCAGTCTGGATGCAAGATTATGAAAGCGGAAATGAACTTACTGATGAAGAGGTGAATAGGSTACTGTTTAGTTCACTTGGTGATCCTGTGAGTTTTGAAGAAGCTGCAACCGAARGGAAGTGGATGGAAGCAATGAAAATAGAACTAGATGCAATTGAAAAAAACGAGACCTGGGAACTCGTAACTCTACCGGCTGGAGTAAAGAAGATCGGAGTCAAATGGGTATTTAAGACCAAGCTAAAGGAAGATGGAACCGTTGACAAATACAAAGCGAGGTTGGTGGTAAAAGGGTATGCTCAAAGGGAAGGGGTCGACTATGGCGAGGTATTTGCACCAGTAGCTCGATGGGATACTATTCGGTCGTTGTTGGCCATAGCTGCAAACAAAGGTTGGAGTGTGTACCAATTAGACGTGAAAAGTGCTTTCTTATACGGAGAACTTAAAGAAGTCGTCTATGTAGAGCAACCT